GAGACTCACACACTCACTGTCCTGATCCTCCACAGAGACTCACACACACACACACACTGACCTCGTTACAGCCGAGGCAGCGCGTGTCGCTCTTTGTGTTCACCTCCAGCAGAAGAGACGCCATGTTGGTCTGTGACCACCAGAGGGCACATGACGAACTACAGTCTGTCATGTGTTTACTCTGGTCGTCATGACAACTGATGGGGGGGGGGGGGGGGGGGCCCTCATTCAGGTCCAGAATCTGACTTCTGGTCCTTCACTTCCTGTTTTCTATCTGCTGCCTCAAATACTCACTAATGTGGATTCATCCGCCGCTGAAAATAGTCCCGACAAACAGAACTACTTCCTCCTAAATGTTTGATAAAAACTACACTGAGATGTTTCTATGAAATGACCGAGTCTTTATTAAAAATTAAACTACATAGTTGTGAGCCGTACAATCTATTCTATGGACGAGTAACTCCACACAAGAGGTTCTAAAGCTCTGGTCTGCAGATGGGAAAAGGCCCCAGAAAAGACAGAAAAACCAAAATAATAAAATTATACAACTTTATTTACCTTGAATGTTTTTCCAACAACAAGTCTGTTTTTAAAGATCATCAAGGTGACAGTTATCTGCATTCTATCTAGTTAGTAAAAACTAAATGAAATGAAGTTTATTTTTGCAGAACCTGTAAACAGTCAAAGAGAAGCTCGATGTCCATCTTTACCTTCCAGGGGTTTGAAACTATTGAGACAAATGAACACATTGATGGTTTTGGTCTTTAAACGGGATTTGTTGAAAATAAGAGAAATATGGAGCAACACCAACATCGTCACTCATCATCTACAACAAGTGTGATCATGATGAGAAACAAACTCCTGCACACATGTTGAAATAACAGAACCAGCAGATCAAAGTGCTTCTACATCATCGTCACGTCTTCATCGTCACTCCCCTGAAGGACACGTCAAACAGGAAGTGCCGTCCACAGACAGCACGGAGGGTGTTATGGATCAAAAGATGGAATCGGTGCACCTTTTAGGGGGATTAAAGCCCTCGTGGGACAAAGTCTTTCCTTCTGTCCCCGATCAGAGAGTCCCAGGTCAGCTGGGGGAGCAGAGAGCAGCCTGCAGCCTTCAGGTCACACGAGTACCCAACAGGACAGCAGCGCTGCGAGTCGGAGCAGCAGACCGCCTGTCAGAGGAAACGTCGGTTCAAGACGATGGAGAGTTTAAATCATGCTTTAAAACAGAGGAATGGAATTCATTGAGCAGATGTATTCATCATAAGGACAATAATCAAAGTCCTGTCCAGTAAGTAAGGTACTTAAAAGGATTTATCTCTCACGGCTGAAAGACACCATTAGTTTAAAGAACATAATTTAACATTAGGACACTTTGGCTCATATGAAGTGTTGATGTGAGTGAGGCGTGGACGTACCCGGGCTGAGGGGCAGCAGGCCCACTCGGAGGCCGACACCTTGCAGCACGTGTCCCGCTTCGGGCAGTGGAACTTCCCCGTTACGTCACACGGTACGTCCTCGTCGTCTCCGAGCTCGGACCGTACCACTTTGACCCGAGGGAGGGTGATGGTGAGAGCGTTGGGGTTCTTCTTCTCACACGTGCCGGTCTGCATGTTGCAGCTGTAGCCCTGAGGACAGCAGTGCTCCTGGTCGGCACAGCAGACGGCCTGACGACGAAACACCAACAAGGTAAAAACAGTGTGTGAACTTTAACGCTCTGGAGTAATTTGGGAACGTTTGGAAAACCCAAGCTTTCTCACAATGTAGAAACACGTGATTTTACAGTAATTGAACATGCGTGTGAAGACGTACAGACCTTGACCAGCGGGCAGCAGCCCCACTCCCCCGTCTGCAGCTTACAGCAGGTCGTCCCTGAAGCGCAGCTGCTCTTGTCGTCACACTTGACGTCCGCGACGGCGCTGGAAGCCTCGCTCATGGCGTCGAGTTTGGAGGACCAGGGCACCACGACGTGGGGTCCCTTTGAGCAGGAGGCACGGTGAGGTTCACAGGTGTGACCGCTGGGGCAGCAGTGGTTTCCATCGTCGCAACACACCGCCTGAAGGAGACTCTCAATGAATCACATGTAATCAGCTTTGCTGGTGTTCGGTTGATTAGCGGCGTACCTTGGGCAGAGGGCAGCAGCCCCATTGGTGGGTCTTGTCCATGAAGCAGCAGGTGGTGTCTCTGGGGCAGCTGGTTTGGGCGTCACACATGTTCCTGGCTGGCTGAGGTGGACCGGAAACGGCCCGACTCGGCTCCTTCTCAGCCTGGAAGGAGGAAGATTAACCAGATCTTTAATGACGCCTGAAATCCTTCCAAAAGGTCAGACACTCAGGAGTTAAACAGATTGAAGAGAGTTTGACATAAACACTAAATCCATAAAACACAAACTGACCGGCAGCAGTAGAGCAGCTGCGGCGTTCCGAGAGGCATAAATATTGTTTTTGTCGACTATCGCTGCAATTATTTGCAGAACTACAATACAGTGGATGAATTCATCAAAGTTTGACTCTAAAAGAAAGCCGATGTGTTGTTCACCTCTGAGGTCAGAGCGGACTCTTTCGCCACCCAGCGGAGTGAAGGTAAGACCCCCGACGGGTCGTCACAGGTCTCAGCCTCCAGGTTACAGACGGTATCGTGAGGGCAGCAGTGGAGGTGGTCGTCGCAGCACACGGCCTGCAGGAACAAGAGATTCATAAAGCTTTTGCAGCACAAAACCCTGTTAATTACAAGAATATTTACGTTGCCGTTGTTTTTCACGCTTCTCTAAACTATATTATTCTGATCTTTCTGGAGAGTACGAGCTGTCCACCGGACCGTAGCCCGTTCTCTACTCGTGTTACCTGAGGCAGAGGACAGCAGGCCCAGCCTCCACTCTCCGTCCTGCAGCAGGTGGATTTTCCGGGGCACGACGTGGACTCGTCACACTTGGCGTTACCGGTCGGTAAAGGGAAGGCGGGCACTTTGCTGAGCCACAGCCACGCCACGCCCGAGGGGTCGACGCACGTGGAGGCCGCAAGGTCACAAACTGTGCCGTGAGGACAGCAGTGCTGGTGGTCCTCACAACACACGGCCTACAGGGAGAGCCACAAAGGAGCTGGAGAACATGTACGACTTAGCAACTAAAACATTTATAACCGTCGTCCTCCTCTGAGCTGACCGCCATCTCTGGACAATGAAACCAGAATCCGTGCAAACGCTGAATAAAAGTTGCATTAATCATATCGACTCATATTTCTACAATAAAATAAATAAAACACAGAGCCGAGATTAGAGGAGAAGCCATTCGTCACTAGACTGTGGTTCATCTCCAGACACACAATGTGAGGAAGTGTGTCGAGTGTACTCAGTGCAGCTGGACAGAAAGCCGAACACAGAGAGTCTGTGTGACTCACACTCACACACTCACACACACACACACACACACACACACACGTCTGTGGGTACCTTAGGTAGAGGACAACAGGCCCATTCTCCCTCTGACGACTTGCAGCAGGTGTTTCCGTCGGCGCAGGCCACCGAGCGGTCACACGGAACGGCTCCAACTGAAAGACAAGCGTTTTTAATCAGCCAACGAACTCTATTTCAAAGAGTAGCGTCACATTCCTAAGAACAGCACAATCACAGATATCGTCGTTTTATTTCATGCATTCTTCCTCCTTGTCAAAACCTGGTGCCTACATCACCCACAATGCAACGCAACCGCAGTTCAGTTGGAGATTTAGGCGCGTTATGCTAGCAGCGGCTAAAGTAGCCCATCTTCACAACACCAGACCAAAGCAGCTGGAGAAAAGTAAACGATGGCGATCAAATATTTAAGATCGTAGACCGTGTAAACAACCGTCGCACTCCGACCTCTGCGCTGAACCTCCACCGGCGTCGTCACAGCCGCGGGGGTCTTCGTGGTCGTCTCTCCGTGGGCCGACACACAGGCGCCGTGGACGACGTCACACTTGGTGCCTTCAGGACAACAGTGGATGTGATCTGAACAGCAGATGGCCTGAAGAGAGGAAAGCCTCGTAGTCAGTGTCAATATTGAGAGAGAGACAGAGAGGAAGGGATTCATGTCTCAAGTTGTGATAGTTTCAGATCACATTATCCATTTTCCGTTAATTGCATTGATCGGTTGCCCCACTACCACGGCGTTGTGTTTTCAAATAACTTCACGTAAAACAGATGCAGTAGTGTTAATCCTGTGAACAGGTTGGTTCAGGTCACTCACGTTGGGCATAGGACAGCAGCCATACGTGTCGTCGGTCATCTTGCAGCACGTCGTCTGATCCAGACAAGCCGATTTCTCGTCTGGACACTTAACTGACGGGACGAGAGGCCGGAACAGACGGAGACACCAAGACATCAAGACTTTCCTGCACACAGTTTAAGCCTAAATTAGGACTCTTACGTGTGACTGCTTACCGTCATCGGGCTCGGCAGCGGTCTTCTTCAGTGGTGCGCTGGGCTCACCGGACCTACAGACACCGTGCTCCAAGTCACAGATCGTGCCGCTCGGGCAACAGTGGAGGTGATCGCTGCAGCACATGGCCTGCACACGAATACAATGACAAACAGATTCAGAAAAATAATTAAAAGTTTGCAGGTTTAGTAGGAAATTACATAATTCTTTACAGCCAAGGACCACAAACACCAACGAGAGTCTTTACAGGTACATTCAGGCTCTCACCATCAACACTCATTTCCTTACAATAAAGCCCTCAAACCACCACAACATGTTTACTAATGCTAAAAGCTCAAATTGTCATAAAGAGACACATCTCTACATAAAACACAATAAACAACTTTGTGACAGAAAATATCACATTTTAATTAAACTTCCAGCAAATAACACGTTGACCCTGCAGCGTCTTCTCTTTAAAGCCCGTTAGACTAGAACACGTACTGGACGGTGTGGATGTAAAACACAAGGACAATTCATTTATTATACAGCAATTAAAAAGGAGCTGCAATCTAGAGCACACAGAAGTAAAATAAATATCTTTGAAACAGTGCATTTACAGCTGCAACTAACTCATTTTCTCAATTAATCATAGCTCGCTTAATTTCTAGAAGCCAACTTCAGTTCCCCAGATACCACGGTGACCTCTTCACCCGCCTGTTTTATGAGCCATGTGAGCAAAACCTGAAGATATTACATTCAGAAGCTGAGTGATAGCATTTTCTGTTGATCAAAAAAAATCAATTCAACTGACAAATAGTTTCAGCTCCAGTCTATCAGAGTCGTGTGTACCTGTGTGTAAGGGCAGCAGCCGTAGTCTCCGCTGCTGAGGAGGCAACATGTACAACTGTCTGGGCAGCTGCTTCTTCCTCCAGGACACGACACGGAACCCACCGGAGGAGCTACGGAAACAAGGTCGTTGTGACTAAAGATGTTTCTTCACACGATGATGTTCTGAGTATAGTACCATCAGCATGTCAAGGAACGTCTTTAGTTACGAGTACAGTATCATCAGCATATAACTAACATGACAGATGGATTTCAGTGACTTAACCTCTTTCTACCATTTTAAACATTAATTTTTCACATTGATATGGGCTTTTTAAAGTAGCCCTTTGGCCTGACATGAGGAAGTCATGACCTTCTACACGAGGAGTTTTCTACCTGAAGTATTGTCCCTCCTCCTGGCAGGTAGTTTCTCCAGCATGGGGAAGGACTCCAGTGAGGACGACACACACTTCGAGTGAGCAACGTCGCACTTTGTTCCCCCGGGGCAACAGTGGAGTTTATCCTCACAACACACCGCCTGCAGAAGAGAGGAGCCTCATTTCAGACAGGCGGCTCAACAGATTCCTGCAGATGATGCAAACACATACTCGACTAGAAGGATTATAAGACGGCTTAATCCAGCAGAGCAACTAGAAGAGCAGCTGACAGCATCAGACGCTGACCAGCAGACCATGTAAAGCGTTTCATCTTACGGTGTTTCAGTGTGCGAGGCCGAGCTGGTGTTCACATCACCTTAGCTAACGGACAGCAGCCCCACGAGCTGTCGAGAAGCTGGCAGCAGGTGGTGCCGTCCGGACACTCGGACTCTTGGTCCGGACAAATGACCGCTTTCACCGTCTCCTCGAGCTGCAACCGCCACACGGCCCACAGCCCACGCATACCAATGACAAGGACACAGAAAACCACACGTCAATGGCTGGACTGCAAATGTTCAGATCTGCTATTCATGAACATGCATCTCGTACTATTGTACAGCAAAACCACAAACTTCCTACAAAAACAAAAGTCTAACGAGCTCAGAATCAAGCGAAGGAATAATGTAAAAAGCAAACGCCGACACACCGTCTCCATCTTTGACGAAGTTCTTGGTTAGATTACCTGAAGGCGCAGAGCCGGTCTGGTGGGAAGGCGTCTCATCCAGGGCAAAGAAACCGTCTTATTCACACACTTGCTGTGGACGAGATCACAGACCGTCCTCTCATAGCAGCAGTGGACGTGGTCGGAACAACACTCCGCCTGCAGGTGGATAAAAGAAAGAGACGGTGAGAGACGTGAAAACGGTTTAAGACACAGAACAAAGAGCAGCAACAAAGGATGTGTAGAAGAAGATCCAGGTCATCCAGAGCTTTACGCGACTCCTCCCGTTTCAGAGAAGCTTCAGCCGAGGAGAAGAACCATTTAAAGACTTTAACGAAGCGTTCATTCAGTTAAATACGGGACTCTATATTGGATAGCTTTAATGTCACTCCTCACCGGGTTAGTCGAGTCACAGCAGGGTTTCCTATCAACTACCTGAAGTCTGGTGACCCCAAATGATGGTAGTTACAGAGTACTTTTACGTGATACATGAAGTACATTTTGCTTCCAATACTTTTGTACTTATTTAAAGTTACTACAAGGAAGTTTCATTTAGTGTTGGTTCTGTTGGTCCCTGTGGACTAAAGTGGCCGTGTCTCTGAGCACCAGACTCGTTAGAAAACCTCTCATTTTACTGCAGCAGGGTCTGACAGTCTGCCCCTCTCAGTCCTGGTTCTGGTTCTCCCATCTGGGTCTGTCCACGGTGGTCTCTGCTGGAGTCTGAGCTGAAGGAGGTTCTGGTGAACCTGCATGAGTTCATCTGGTTTCACCAGAATCCGACCCGGTGGCTCCGATGACGAGCATCAAGAATAACTCTATAGAAACAGACCATCTTCTCTCTGATGGTCTCTTTACTGATGGAGGTCAGATAGAGGATCAGGACTACACTGAGACTGGTTCAGATAGAGGATCAGGACTCCACTGAGACTGGTTCAGATAGAGGATCAGGACTCCACTGAGACTGGTTCAGGACCAGTTAGAAGTTCCTCGCAGTAACTTTAAATAAGGTTTTAAAGGCAGGACTTTTATTCTACTCGTGTAACTGAAATGACTGAACGGTGACTCACATAAGGCAGCGGGCAGCATCCGTACCCTCCCGTGGAGTTCCTGCAGCAGGTGTTACTGTTCACACACATGTCTCCGTCCGGACAGATCCGAGCAGAGCTGAGACCCAGCAGAGCCAGGACCAGGATCCCCATCTGCAGCATCTGAACACAGGCAGCAGAGAACAGGGCCGGCAGGAATGAAGCAACGTGTACCGACGATACGAACGGTTGAGAGCGAACGCCATCTCACCTTTATGGCTGCGAGAAGCGAACTCATGGAGCCGGATAACAAAGACACGGAGAGCAGCTCAGCACGAACTCCGTCTGATAAACTGGATTTCAACACAGCTCGCCGTAGAGTTCATGTCCTGTTATTGCATTGATAGCACTCATATCTCTGGCATTTCACAACCCTGAAAACCTGATATTCAATGACAAAAGTCACCAAATATTGATTTATTGAATAATAAATGTAATAACTACTCGTTGCAGTTTGTTGAGTGTGTACAAGATGTTAAATAAACCAATAACTGCTTCAGTGATTAAAAAGCGATCCATTGAATAACAAAGTCTGATAAACAGAAAATTACACAACTCAAGAAGAGATATATATATATATACATA